AAAATCTATGCTATGAAAAGCATAGCCCAAAAGAACACAGCCCACGGTTTTTGGTCCAAGCTTGCGCTTCTTGGGAATTGGTATATTGACTTTCGCCAAACAACCCCAAGAATGTAGGTAAGAGAGTTTCAACCTTTTCCTTTCCCATTTATCAAATGGAGTCATGGTCTTATGCTTTGTGGGAACTCGGTTTAGGACATGACACGCGGTCATTAGCGCCTCCCCCCACCATTCCTTGGAAAGACCCGATGTGTCTAACATGGCGTTAACCAAATCAGTTAGAGTTCGGTTCTTTCTTTCGGCCACCACATTAGACTGAGGTGAGTAGGGAGGCGTCCTCTCATGGATTATACCATGTTCTGCACAAAACAGATCAAATTCATTGGAAAAATACTCTCCACCACGATCGGACCTAAGCCGTTTAATTTTTTGATCAAGTTGGTTCTCTGCCTCAGCTTTATAGTTTTTGAAGAACGTTAAAGCCTCATCTTTTGATTTCAGAAGATACACATAACAATATCTAGTGGAGTCATCAATCAACGTCATGAAATATCTCTTTCCACCTTTTGTCAACACGCCATTCATCTCACAAAGATCAGAATGTATAAGCTCTAGTGGCGCCAAGTCTCTTGCCTCTGCAGTCTTATGGGACTTGCGAGGTTGTTTAGCTTGCACACATACTTGGCACTTAGAGCCTTTGACAGTAGAGATTTTCGGAATTAAATTCATATTGGCTAGCCGCGTCATGCAACCAAGTTAATATGACAAAGTCATGAATGCCAAATATCTGACTCATTATTGTGGGAAACATTATTAATAACTTTAGTGCAAATATCTGACAAAGATAGGCGGAACAAGCCTCTGCACTCATAGCCTTTTCCAACAAATTGTCCACACTTGGAAATTACAACTTTATTGGACTCAAAAACCAACTTAAAACCATCTCGACATAAACGGGAACCGCTAATGAGATTTTTATTGATGGACGACACATGATGAACGTTCTTCAAACGCATGGTCTTCCCCGAAGTAAACTTCAGATCGACCGTACCAACACCTCGAACGATGGCATGTGACCCATTCCCCATCAACACAGGAGAAGTCCCTGTGGCCTAGTAAGAAGAAAACATGGAGGCGTCAGCACAAACATGTACATTGGCACCGGTGTCAATTAACCAATCAGGGGATTGAAATACTGAAAGGATGGTAGGAAAAATACCGTACCCTGATTCCTTCATATCAGTATCACCGATGACAACATTAGCGGACTTGCTGCCCTTCTCATGTTCGCGCTCCTCAAAGAGGTTAGGACACTTCGGAGCCCAGTGATTAGGATCACCGCAGACATGGCAAAGTCCCTTCCCCTTCTTATGAGAATTCTTCTTGAAGTTGGTAGAATGTGATGGCTTGTTCTTTGTATCAAACTTGCCTTTCCCCTGAGTTTTGTTCTTGTTTTTTTAACTTATTGTGCTGGAAGTTCTTCTTTTGTACCATGTGGGCACTAGAAGCTCCCTCGGCAACTCGGGCACGTGTGTCCTTTGCTCTCGCCTTCTCTTCAACATCAAGAGTACCAATGAGATCTGCAACGGAAAACTCCTATCTCTTGTGTTTCAGGGAAGTAGCAAAATTGTTCCACGAAGGTGGAAGCTTGGCAATAATGCCTCCGGCAATAAATTTGTCAGGCAACACACACTTGAAGTGCTCAAGTTCTTTTGCGAGCGACTGTATCTCATGAGCCTGCTGTACAACAGAGCGCTCATCAGTCATCTTGTAGTCATAGAATTGCTCCATGACGTACAATTCGCTACCGGCGTCCGAGGCACCAAACTTGGCCTCGAGCGCAGCCCACATGTCCTTGTCGTTGTCAAACGACATATACGAATCCACAATGGAACATCAAGAACACCTAGAAGAGCGCCTTTAAAGAGAGTATCGATCTTCTCAAAAGCTTCGAGCTATGCTGGATTAAGATCGCCCTCAGGCTTGCCCTTAGTGGCGTCATAGTAGCCCATGGTTTGAAACCAGTAGACTGCTCTCATGCACCACCTCTTATATTGCGCCCCCTTAAAGGTAGGCGGCTTCAGATGCACAACAAAACCACTCGGAGTAAATTGCCTATAATCAGGTTTTTGGATTGTTGGAAATATGAGCAAATTGCTACGAGATTTAATCTGAATAAACAAAAAATAAATCATGACTACAGTAGTAGAGATTGAACTAATCATGCAAACTAGCATAACAGATGAATAGATCACATCTAGGGCACATACTAGAAACATGAATTCTACCATGATCTCGAACAGGAAAGATAGAATCACATACGATGCAGCGGGAGCAGCACCGCCGGCGTTGACGTTGTCGCCCATGTTGTCGAGGATGAGGTTGCCGAGGTCAGGGAAGAAGTCCTCGTTGGCGAAGTCGTCGCTGCCAGCAGTCGCGCGAGTGCGCTCCCCAAAAACCTGATCGCCCCTCTCCCGTACAGGATCACGAGAGGCGGAGTTCCGGAGGCCTGCTGTCCCTTCTCCCGGTGCACACCGAAAGGAGGGATGGAGAAGACTTGCTTGGCGGCGCAATGATCTGGAATGGTGGTGAGAAACCATAAGAAGCGGCGGCGGCTAGGGTAGACGTCTGCCTGACTATATAGTGCGGGTCGGGTAGGTCGTGGGAGTAAACCCCACATCCGAGTCATCACGATCCAAAAGAATCGAAAACGGTTCAGTAATTAATGCATCAGTTAATTATTAATTAATGACTCATTAATTTTTCCTTAGCAGCAAAAATATAGACAGCGTGCATAGCTCTGTCCTTGGCTCGGCTCAATCCCGCAACCCGCAACCCGCGTTGTGACGTGACGTGACGAGGCGAGGCGTGGCGTGGCAAGGCGAGCGAGGAGGAGGAGCGCGCGTGTAGGTCTGCTCTTCTCATGCTCATACAAGTGATAGAAGAGCTCACCTTATAAAGAGGTGCAACTCTCTCTCAACTTATGAGGTGGGACTAAACTTTAGCCTCACTCACTCCACTCACATATGTGCATGAATGGGCCAAGAGAATTTTAGAATTTTAGTTGGGCTTTGGGCCAAAGGCCTATTAGCAAATTCCAACACCTCATGCTAGTGACCTAACATTCCCCAATTGCCACAGAATATGGGGATTTTCTCATACTGAACCTGATAGTAATCAGTTTTCTCACCTTTAGTCACAGACACAAATCTAATGAGCTTTTTCCAAACATTCAATTCCACCTTAACTCTCACGAACTCCCCTACAAACCCTGCTGGAAGGGTAGTCTGAACTTCCAGGATTTTACCCATCCTTCTGCACATACCTCTAATAGCTGCCGGAAAAAAGGAAATTATCCGGTAGTTTGAGGATTCTCGCCCAGACAGCAAACGTATCTAGCTTTATCGATCTAGGGTTTGTGAATCCATCATATTCCGCTAACATCAGACCCTGATCTCGAAATAGCCATGGCCCCATGTTCATGGCCGTATTCCAATCTCCTAGGCATCCGAACTGGACTGTAAAAAGGTTGTCCTCGACCTTATGTCAGCTAACAGTTCTTGCGGGGTTCCAAGCTGCCCGCATGTCGGAGTAAAGCGCTGGCGGACTAAAACTCTTGTTTGTGTGCACCTTTGCGATGGCGAGCCACTTCGCCGCAACCGGCTCATCCTTGAATTCCTCCTCCCATACAAACTTGTCCTCCTCTTCCTCCTGTAGATCCAATCTACTTAGCAGTTCTTCGACCGGCTCTTTTCCTTTTTGAGATCCACCTGGAACATCTTGCGACGCTATCCGATCTCCTCCAAACCCTAATTCCCACGCCAGGGAAAGCTTCCAAACCCCCGCACGAGACTCAAAACCCAGTCTGGATCAAGGACGACCAGAGGGGAGCGAGGCTTGGGGGGGATCGCGAAATCTGGACAGAGATTAGATACTCACGGCGGTCGCGCCGCCGGAGGAGCTCGAAACCCTAGTCGCGGGACCTAGGGGAAAAAACAACGCCGGTCAACGCGTGTCGGAGTTGAAGATGCCCTAACCCCCTATTTGTAATTTTTTTGACAAAGTCCTATTTGAGTAATATATGCACTTGATTGAAAAAAAGGGTACCGCCTGGAAAGCCCACATGGTGGTGGGAGCCTTGTATATGTCGATCGGATTCAGACTACGCGAATTGTAAGACGGTGGTGAACAACATCAAGCAGGATTCAACGATTGAGCATGGTGCCATAATACATGAAATGATAGATCGCTCTCGGTGTTTTTTGGTTTGTAATATCGTTCATGATTTTAGGTGCTCGTAGCTCGAGGCTCGTAATCTCGCTAAGCACATTTTTAACTCTCTGGTTTTGCAGACATGGATGGCTAGGCCAACCGGGGGAGTTACTAATTTGTTTTTGTTTTGAGCTGGTGGGAGCTACTACTATTTTATCTGTAAACATTTTGAAGATTTAAATAAAGCTGGGCGAGAGTGCAAAAAAAAAAAACTGTCGATCCGATTCGCTGCCAGAGCCCCAAGCGAACCGGGCACCCGAGCCAACCACGTCCGAGGAAGCGCGCCAGGAGCACGATCCATGTGCCAACCCCAGTCGCCGCACCATACTACATCGCGAGGGACCGTCGTCTTCCTGGCGAACCGTTTGAAAGCGTCTTTCAACTCATCCAGTCAGCCGGTCTCCAGTTGCTCGCAGCTTTCTCCCATCTCCCTCCGTACGTATGCCCCTCTCCATGCCTTCATCACCAGTTTATTACGTACTAGTTCCGATCTGATCAAAGCTCAACTGTTTTATGTGTACAGAAATATGTATTTCAGTTAGATTTCTCTCTGGTGAATTGCAAGCTGCCTGTAGATTTCGGCCTCGTGTCATTTTTCTTTTGTAGAGAGCCAAATGAGGAGAAGTGGCCATTTTCTGTTTAACTTGGCCACGGCTGCTGATATAGCCGGCTTGTTCCATTTCAGGTATGAGGAGCAGCAGCACGTGAGGGGCAATGCATCTTCCCAAATGCCTGCTCTGGAACTCGAAGCCTCCTGTGATCTGCCGTATGATTACTGTATCGCTCATGCATTTTCAATTCCTAGACTAGTCGATACCGAATTGTTCTGTTCATATTTGGGGTGGTTCTAGTACAGAGAGGTCTTTCTCTTGGACCTGTAGATTTCTGGCCTCCAAAGCTAAACTGCTGTAGTTCTGCTGACCAGCCTGCTTGTTTCACTTCAGGTGTGAGGAGTCGTCTGTGGCTGAGACTGGATCAGCACATTCAGCACAGATGCTGCAACCCATCACAGCGACTTCTTCAGCCTCTGTTCAGGCCGACGCAGCAGTAACTCAGGAGGACACCGTTCATGTCTCGCCACCACTTCTGCGTTTTCTTTCATCGTCACCCATTTGGGGCTTGCGCCGGGGGGATTGGGGATACGCATTCTTCTACATCAGGATTGATCTGAAGGGATCTTTCCACACGTATCCTCCAGTGGGTGGGCCATTTCAGAGCTTAGAGCAGGCTTGCAGCGCTATCGACCGCCATCTTGAAGAACAACGACATCCAACAATGTAGGGTTTCTCAACTTCATTCCAGAATTTCATTGTTTATGTTTTTCGATTTGGTGTGCACAGTAGCAATAAAGCAATTTCGCCATGTAGTCCACGAAAGATAATCTCAGTTGACTCGAATCTCGAATCACGAAAGATAATTACAGCATGAATCTCGAATGAACTGAATAGTTAACACGAATGAAAATACCATCCTGAATCATTTTCTTACTTCACGTCTTCGGACCACCTTTAGTTGAGGAAACCTTTTTTTAACTGTATTTTGAGGGTATTGTCCAGATAGTGCAGCTGGCCATTACAATAAAGTGAACATAGATACTACACTAGTACACTACTGCTTTGTATGTAGATCTGTTTTTATCTGGATTGTAATCTAGACAATTGGTTAGCTTTTACCCAGGCACATCCACACACCTTTGTTACCTGGTAGACTACACAGTGGTGATAGCTTCTTCATAAAAGGATAATGTATTGGGAGCTTATACGCATGTAAAAATATTTCGGTGTTGTATTATGCTGTTCTTACTTATTGTTGATTACTACCACAAGTCATGTCAAGAGGTCACTTCAAGGCTGTTTGATCCTATCGAACTAACCTTGCCTACAAACTATACTACTGTAGTTCACTCCAAAAGACCTATGTTGACATGGTGCTTAGTATCACTTTCTGTTCCCCACCTTTCAAAAAATATAACATACTGATCTTGTATAATGCTCTAACATAAACTAGGTTCATGGATCAACCTGGGATGTCTCAAGTGGATAAAGTCATACGCCAATGTCTCTACTGGCCTGATGGCACAAGGAAGAAGTTGATTGACGAAAGGCGTGACTGGATGCGCCAGTTAGTTCAAGCTTTGCTGGACAAGCATAACGATTATAACCATCTTCTTGGGGTTTGCTCTCTGTCCCTCCCTCCTTCCCTCATTCTTTGCCCTGTGGCTAGGGTTGTACTAGTTCATGGCTATTGTTTTGCTCACTCATGTAACAATTAATTGCTGATCAGGCGTATGCATTTCTTAATTTTAGGATCCCACATACAAACTCAAAGATGTAGTGTGTTTCGAGTCTGTTCATGCGCCCAATGACCATACTAGGCTGTACCATCATATTAATTTCACTGCAAAGACTAAAGGAGCCGATGATGATTCTAATTGTGGCATCGAGGATTTATTCTTCGCTGAACTCATGTGGGAGCGAGGTGAACGTATAGAATTGGTGGTCAGCTGTTTCTGCGTGCTTAAACCAACAGACAACGGTATGACATGCTCTTATCTTTGCCTGCATCTTGTGCAAATACAGTTTTGTGGGTTGCACTAATTCGAACTCATCCCTTAAATTTGAGCCTTTTATATTTGTAATGTCTGCTTAGTGGTTTGTGCAGTCACGTGCGTGTAATAATAACTGCATGCACGCTTTCTTTTTTGCCTTCTGCTCTTCATTTTATTCTTATGTGATTGTGCGTCGTTGGTTATTTAAAAGTTTAACGAGAATTTCCCTCCTTGTAAAAAATGAAGGTCGCTGCGATGCTTGTGATGCGAAGCACCCCAATGATGCTGCATACACTCATCAAATAAGCCCATTGGGTGAATATGCTAAGCTTGGTAACATTGTGTATGTGGGCTATGACGAAGACGTACGTATGGTTTAATCCGTGTTGAGCTTGTGTTTACGTTTTTTGTTGCCTTATTTTTTGTTAATTACATGTCTTTTACTATAGTTGAAGGAGGAGGAAGAAAGGGTAAGACGTCACTACGAGGTAATGACATCTTAAGGCCTAGTTCCTCTTTTAGTTGGATGGTGATGTTGGCTACTTGATTGATTATTCCTCTGCTTGTGTATTCTTTAGGGCCGTGATGATCCAGAGGGAATGAATCGAAAATTGACAACCATTCAGACCTAAATATCTGGGTGTGGCAGCTATGTGGAAGAAACTAACAATGGCGCTCGCGTGGAAGAAATCTCTGAACTTTTTTAGTTATTACTTCTACGTTAAGTTTGTCTACTTGTAAACTCAAAAGTAATACTACGTTCTTTCGCTAGACCAAAAAGAAAAGGGCATGTGGTTTGAGATGGACTTACATAAGCAAAGGGGATCCGTAGCTGCCATCTTGCAAAAATCCATTTATCAAAAGTGGCCATACATAACCTGATCGGCTTTCGGATTTTTAACGAATGGCTTCTTATGTGTATGGATTTTATAATTATGCCCAATTCAAACACTTTTGGATTTTGTTATTTCTCATATACCTGAAAAAGTTCACTAGCGTCAGTAGCCTTCTTCCTTACTTCTTTCATTCCTTCTGGCAAGCCAGACCTCGCCGGAGAAGAGCCCTATTATCTATCTTAGAGTGAATTCACTG